GTGTGCAATGGCGCGCACGTGGGCACGCGCGCGCGCACATACACACACACACGCACACACACAATAAATAAATTAAATAAGCAGCTAGGACTTGCCTGGGAGGGATTTCTGAAGTGAGGATCATGGCTCAGGATGCTCACTGGGTGTGCTCTTCTAACTATATAGGGAAGCTCAGTTGCTATTTGAGAAGTCCATGGTTGGCTGCTTTCTAACTGTCTGTGAGATGTGATCCTCTCCAGAGACCATGAATCCACACATCAGGTAACTAATACTCAGGGGTCAGTGGCCTTAAAGAGCACCCCACAGCCTGATGCTGCAAGTAGGTTCTCTTGATGCTATCAGGCCATTTGAACATATGAAACTAGTTTCTGGTTTTTGCAAAAAAGATAAATAAAAATTAAAAAACTAAAAAAAAAACCCACAACTTTTCTTCAGATTTTAGTTTGTGTGTATATATGTGTGTACATGTATGTGTAAGTATGTATATGGGTTTCTACGTGTGTGTATGTGTGCATGCGCACACATAAGTGAAGGTCAGTGACTGCTGTTGGACATCTTCCTCAATTTTTTAAAGATTTATTTATTTTTATTTTATGCCTAACAGTGTTTTGCCTGCATGCATGTGGGATGCACCGTGTGTGTACCTGGTGTCTCTGGAGGCCAGGAAAGGTAACTGTATCCCTAGAGCTGAAGAGCCTGTGTGGCTGCTGGGAACTGAACAAGGCCCTCTGTAAGAAGCAAGTGCTCTTCACCACTGAGTCATCTCTCCAGCCCCTTTACCTTACTTGTTGGAGACAGGGTCTCTTGCAGAATCTGGAGTTCACAGATTTGGCTAGGCTGGCTCACCAGTGAGCCCCCAGGACCCACCTGTCTGCTCCTCCTTGTTGTCTGGACCATAGATGTGCACTGCTGTGCCTGGCTTACATGGGTGTTGGGGATCTGAACTCAGGCGGTCATAATTGTGCAGCACATTACCAACTGAGCCATTTCCATGGCCCCTTCAGTTCTTTACTTTCAGTATATATGACATAGTCTTTTTCTTTTCTTCTTATTTTTTTTTCCCTAAGACAGAGTTTCTTTGTGTAGCCCTGGCTGTCCTGGAACTATCTCTGTAGACCAGGCTAGCCTTGAACTCACAGAAATCCTCCTGCTTCTGCCTCCTAAGTACAGGGATTAAATGCGTGTGCCACCACCGCCCAATGAATGATCTGCTTTTTCAGTCTGAAAATCAATGACCTTGTTTCAGAATAGGAAAGTCAAAAAAGTTGTAAGTAGTTGCCTTAATAAACTTCATTATTGGGCCAGAGAGAGATGGCTCAGCGGTTAAGAGCACTGACTGTTCTTCCAGAAGACCTGAGTTCAATTCCCAGCAATCACATGGTGGCTCACAACCATCTGTAATGAGAACTGGTGCCCTCTTCTGGCCTTCAGGCATACATGGAGGCATAATAAATAAATAAAATCTTTAAAAACAATTTTATTTTTAAACAAAAATATCCATTATAAAAAAATAAACTTTATTACCTAACGGGAAACCTCAGGAGGCTGGAGACCAGGTATGTCTTAACTCCTTCAGAACCACACAGGCACCATTGGAGGAGTTTTTATTTAAGTCATCTCCAAGTCAATCAGATTTGACTCTCAGAAATGAACTTCCTGAAAAGATGACGATCTGTCATTATTGGGACCATCTTCTTATCAAATAGTAACGATGGCGATTACTTAGAGGGCGAGGTAGGTGCAGGGGCTACATGCTCACCACTGTTATCCTCCTTCCATTAACTAGATTAGGTTTGAGACCTTCAGTAACTTGTTTACACAATATTGAAATCTGAAGCTGAGGGTCAGAAAGCCCTAACCAGGCTTTACCACTCAGATGTCTGATGTATGTAACATATGCTTCCGGATGGAAATTCTGGGTCATTGCAAGAGCTGGATCGGAAGCTCTTAAGAAGCCATGGGACCTAGTATATGATGCAAGAGCAACAGTATGTTAAAGCAATTCCTGAGGAGATATGTAATGTGTTAGTCAAAGAAACACGCTGCAGATTCTCATCGGAATAGTTTTTTTTTTTTTTTTTTTTTTTTTTTTGCTGTCTGGTTTTTGGTTTTTGGAGACAAGAGTTTCTCTCTGTAGCCCTGGCTGTCCTGGAACTAGCTCCTTAGATCAGGCTGGCTTTGAACCGACAGAGATCGGCCTGCTCTGCTTCCTGAGTGCTGAGTAGACAAGAGAGGCTGGGGATAGAGGTCAGTTAGTAGAGACTTGCCTAGCATGCACAAGGCTCTGGGGTTCATCTGCAAGCACAGAATAAACTGGACATACGTGTGGACATAATCACAGCCCTTGGGAGGGGAACGCACAAAGTTCTGGCATTCAAGACTAGTCTCTGTTACACAGGACCTTCTCTCAACAAAAGGAGAGCTAGCTCAACAGTTGAGAACACATGCAGCTTTCCCGGAGGACCTGAGTTTGCTTTACAGCACCCGTGGGGGAGGCTCACAACACAGGCAAATCCAGCTCTAAAGGATGGGACACTCTCTTCTGGCCTCCAGGGTACCTGGACTCTTGAATATATAACCACACAAAGACACCCATGCATACCTAAAAATAAAAAGTAAGCCTTAAAAATGGTACAAAATAGAAAAGACAAGGGGCTTCAGGGGTGTGTGACTCGATGGTAGGGTGCTTCCCAGTAAATATGGGGCCCGAGCTTCAAACTCTAGTTCTAGAAAAACTGCTTAAAAAGAAAAGTTTAAAGACAGAAAAGATTCTATACAAAAAAAGCAGGTAAAACTTGGAAATTAGAAAACGTGAACCCTGGCCCCTAGTCATCACTTCTCAGTGGGGGACCTTGGCTAAATCTATTTCTTCAAATTAAATATTACTAATAAGCACATCTGTGATGGCTAGTTTATGTCTATTTGGCACAAGCCATTGTCATCAGGGGAGGGAAACTCAGTTGAGAAAAAGCCCACATCATATTGGGCTGTGGGCAAACCTTTGGTGCGTTTACTTAACTGAGGATTGATGTGGTCGGGCCCAGCTCACTGTGGGTGGTGACACCCCTAGGTTGGTGGTCCGGGATGATTGCATGCACACGCGCACACACACACACGCGCACACACACACACACACACACACACACACACACATCTGCACAAGTCAGGAAGTAGTACCCATCAACCGTCTCTGCATCCTGCCTCCAGGTACCTTCCCGGACTTTCCTCAGTGATTGACAGTTATCTGTGAGGTGAAATAAACCTTTTCCTTCCAACATCTCTACATTTATGTCCTAGGTTTACCATGAGAGGCCAATGAGTGTATATGAAAACTTTTGAACAGACCACAAATCTTACAACATGACATCACACACACACACACACACACACACACACGCGCGCGCGCGCAGAGGAACTCTTCCTGTCCAGTGTGGTGGGGTGGATGCTAGACTTGATTCAGCAGGCTGTTTAATGTATTACATCGTATCGTCCTCCTTCATTTTATTCAGTGCAAAAATCCTTCCTCCAGGCAGCACCAGGTTCCAAGTCATAAAGTTCCTGGGTGTAACGGAATGAAAACATCTTATTAGCAGTTCTTATCCAGGAAACAGGGGCACTTGGGATCGTTGGGATCAAGAGAGAGAAGAAATAATCACACAATAAAGAAAAACCTATCCAGACTGGGAATGCTGACTCAAGCCTGTTCCTGCCAGCCTGGACCACATACAAGTAATGTCCAGGTTAGTCTGGATTACAAAGTGAGACCCTGTCTCTCAAAGCAATCCAAACAAGAATGTAGCTTAAAGGCCAACAGTAAAGTACCCCATTTTCTGTAAATTTCAATGACCGATATTTAAAAGATTTCAGCAGTATTGCATTTTAGTACCCCAAACAATTTTTCCTTTGCTATGATTTTTTTCCCCTGGGGATTAGAAATTTTTCAAACTCATTTATATTATAAGACGCATTTGGAAGCAACAGAGTCGCAAGGGTACTGTTGTTTTACATGGGGTTAAAACAAAATTGCAAAGTAGATTGACTTTTTAAAAGTAAGTTTGAGGATAAGTAGTGCGGGGGTCCTAATGGATTTCCAGCCCCACCCCCCACTTCCACCCTCTCCCGCACAATCAGAAGGATTCCTGAAACTTGCTAAAGGCAGTTAGTGACAAAGGCTAGATTTCCGTCAGCGACTTTAATTAAAGTTAGCTTTTAGCCTGTGCCCTCGTCATGTGCCAAAGATTTAGATCGGGATTAGCAAACGCTAATCCACGTGTAAAGACTCTGTAGGCTCCGTCCCGGCAGCCCCCCTGTACGCCCTCTTTAAATGTACGTTTCGACTCCTCTGGTTATCCTTAATTAATTCCAAGAGCTGTGAACAAATTCCCATCGCTGGTGTCTCCTTTCATCAGCCTAACTTTTAAGCAGGTAACCTATCAAAGTCTGGCCTCTCATATCAAACTCTGGAAACTCCTTGATCTCGCCTCTACTCCCAAGACAAGGGCCTTTATGCACTTAGTTCTCGCACATTAAAATCTTAATTATCTTGAAGCAGAGTTAAAAGTTCTCCCCCAAAGGTAACTGCTAATTTTAGGTCTCTCTTAGATTATTTTCAAGCCACGGCCGTATCTGATGGGACCGGAGATGATAAGAAGTCTCCAAACGTGGGTGGTAGTTTTGGGGGGAGGGTGTCGCCCTAGGATGCCTCCAGGGGCTCTGACAAGCCTCAGAAGTGGGAACTGGACTTCCCTGAACGGGGCCTGGGCGGGTGAGCAGAGCAGGGGGATGGGCAGGGGGCCATCAGGGGAGAAGTCTCCGGCCTTTCCACGTCTCTCAACACCATCCTTCCACCCCACCCCCCTCCTCCGTGCAGAATCCTCAACTGGCCCGCAGGAGGGAGAAGGGCCGGGGGGGGGGGGGGCTGCTGGCCGCGGCCAGGAGGATTGGCCTTTGTGGCCCAGTGGCCGGCCGTGGCGCGCAGGCTGAGGGGCGGGGGCCTGACCCCCAGGTGCATTGTCCGGCGGGGCCCTTCCCCCTGTCCCCGGGGTCGCCCTAGCGATCGCAGCGTGTCCCTCCGCCAGCAGCGCCGACCTCGCCGTGCGGGGCCCAGGGGCCAGATGTAGAAAGTAGTCCCCGGCCGGCCAGGCTGTCCACTACGCCGCCCTCTGCAGCCTCCCTCCGCCCCGGGCTGGACTCGACGCGCGTGGTCCCCGCGGCCTGGCGCGCGCGCGCGGGGGTCCGTGCGCCTGCAAGCGGCGCGTCGCCTCGCTACGCCGGAGCAGCGGGTGCAGCAGGAGCTGCGGGTTCAGAAGAGCAGCGGGAGCAGCGGGCGCGGGCGCACGGCCCGGGAGTATGCCCGCGCAGCCCCGCTGAATGGCGCCTCCCGTGCGCCCGGGGATGCCGCCCCTGCTGCTGCTGTTGCTGCTGCTGCCGCCGCTCGGCTGGGTTCCAGGTGGGCGCGCTCCCCGAGCGAGTGTGCGCGACCGTGCGCGGGGAGGGGGACGGGCAGGGATGCCCCGGGTGGTGCGGCCGGCCCAGGGTTCCCTCGGGATGCGCTCTCCGGGCGCTGCTCCTTGGCCAAGGCCGAGTCTCCCCGGGGCCGCTGTCCACTCGCCCTGCTCACGCCATTGTCCGCGCTGCGGCCAGCCGGGGGGGTTCCGCGCTGCGTCCCGGGCCGCGGCCGCACGTGGTTTTATTTATATTGTTTCCTGAGTGGCAGCCTCGCCGCGCAGGGGGTGCCGCGGTTGTCTGCCATTTCCAGGGTTTGCAATGAGTCCCCCAAGTCTCGGGGTGGCGGAGCCGGGCGCCCCCCGCTTCCGCAGCTCGAAACTGAGCAAGGAGATGGGAGGGTGGAATTGCAACGAGAAGGAGCTTGAAAGTTCTGTGGCCCATTTGTGCCCCCAGAGAAGGAGGGAGGAAGGTGTCTGGATAGAACTTACTTTCTGCACGTAGGACTTTGGAGTCCCGGCTGGAGGTCCCTGAAACCGCCAGATTAGCCTTGCACAAACTTGCATAAATTTATTTATCTCCATTTCTTCAACTTTGGTTTCTTCAAAGACAGAAACGTGTACAGTGAATGTTAGGAAAAGGAGATTCGAAAAGGTGTTCAGGGGCCTGAGTTATTTATTTATAAGTTACAAGCGCTGCTTTTTCTTTCTTTTCTTTTTCCTTTTTCTTTTTCCTGGAAGAGTTAGTTTCAGTTAGCAAGATAAAGGATCAAAGTAGGATGCGGCTCAGAAACACAATGGGCGTCTTTCCGGAGTGGTTGCACGCTGCATGGTTGTTGGGGTAGCTGCCCTGGGCAGACTTTAGTGGAAGTTAGGAGTTCCAGACTCTGAAGTTCCAGCATCTGTGTTGATTACCAACAGATAAATTATTGCTGGGCATTTGTAGTCAGGGCTTCTCACTAATTAGAAGTTTTTTTTTTTTTTTTTTTTTTTTTTTTTTAAATCTCCCACCAAGACCTCTAACTTTGTGTTGGCCCAGATCAACACGCTTTTGCTCTAAATGCAAGATGCAACAAATGCTTTATTCTGAGAGCCCAGCGACCTGTGTATGCTTGGATAAAGCATTTCCTCTGCTCTGATAAAAATGTGTATTGGTTGATTAAGCAATCTCCTATCCCTATTAGACAGTAAGGACCAATTAGTCACGCATTTTTTTTCAACAGTTGGTAGCTCGAAAAAAGTGAAATAAAGGTTTCCTAATCCGATCACCCACTGTGCACAAGCAGCCAGAGTTACCAACTTTTCAAAGTCTATTGTGTGTCCTTTAAATACCTAGCTGGCTAGGCAGAAATGAAGTAAATGGATTTCTCTTAAGGAGCAGAGATAGCATCCCTGCTGTAAAAGGGCAGATGGGGGGTAAAAATGCACACTTGTGATTTGTCACCAAAGATAAAGGCACTTCCCAAAGGAGTGGGTGCAGGGGTTTCCGAGAACCCTTCCAGAGACAAGGAAATCAACTCTCCTGTTCACAGAGTTGGAGTTTTGCTAATGATTTCTTGTAAAATTAGACTTTATGGCTTAACCCTGTTCAAGATCTTTTTGACAAGCTTGTAAAAGTAGCCAGTGACTTGTGCTAGTGAGTTCTGATGATTCTGGGTCTCAGGCCAGAAACCTGAGAACCCAATTCTTAGGCTTCATAGAAGGTATCAGCACCTTCCTGTGTTGTTTTGAATGTAGACATTGTAAAGGGTGACGACTCTGACTTGTTGAAAGGGTTTGCAGTTATTAGGGTCCTTGGAAGTTATTAGGGTCCTGGAGAACCTGCCTTATACCACAAATATGTGTTTTACAGTTGTGTGCTAAATGACTTTATACCTGTAATTCTGGAAAGCGCCTTCTCTCCCTTTCTCTTTGCAGGAGTGTGGGGCTTTAGTGAACTGTTTTTCATGAAAGAACCACAGGATGTAACTGTCATGAGGAAAGACCCGGTCTTTTTAGATTGTCAGGCTCACGGAGAGGGTCCTGTGAAGGTCACGTGGTTGAAAAATGGAGCAAAACTGTCTGAAAATAAAAGGATCCAGGTTCTATCCAACGGCTCTTTGTACATCCGTGAGGTGGAAGGCCGGCGAGGAGAGCATTCGGATGAAGGATTTTATCAGTGCTTGGCAGTGAACAAATACGGGGCCATTCTCAGTCAGAAAGCTCATCTGACATTGTCAAGTAAGTCTTTAAGGTCTTCTTGGTGGTAACAGTTTTTACTACTAGAAGGTTGATTTTTTTTTTATTGGCTTATGAGTAGCATTAAAAGCATACATATATTAAGAATTTCACCAGAGATGTTAAAAGCCGGCGCTAAAGGAGGCTTGCAGAGAAATCTGCAAAGACTTCATCAAATTGAGTTGTGGAGACCTAAATCCAAATTAGGCCTTGAAACCGTCAGGTGACTCTGACCAAATTTCAGACGTTGCACACTGTAAGAATTACATGAAGAAGTTTGGCCGTGCCAACAGAGCTGTTGTAAGATCTCAGTCTTTTGGAAATCGAGGAATGGAAGCAATCCCAAGTAAATCTTTCTGCTGTGTGACTGGCTCTTGAGTGCTAAATCTTTCCTACAGCCCAGCCTTCCATCTCTCAGGCCGGCCGTAGATCGCCCGTGTTGCGTTTTGATTGTAGGAGAGGGCCTTGGTCAGTAACTCTCAAGCCTTTGGAGTATTTCGAGGCCTTTCCAGCTGGGAGGGAAGGAGATCGAGGCTGTTCCTCTCTTAGGCCCAATGAAATCAAATGAGATCTGGTTTTCTCCGGTTATCATAAATTCTGCTGTCTCAGGATTTCCTCTGTGTTAACATCATCCGAGCAACTGTCAGCCTTATGGTCCATTGGGCGGCGGTTGATCTGGTAGCTGCTGGGTGTGGGACAGGTAAGGGAACAAGGTTACCACCTCTTCGGGTGACCAGGTGACACACTCAACAAAGTGGGGTGTTGGGAAGAGTTTTACAGCGCTGGCCGTGCTCTTAACCCCCCAAAGGGCAGGTTTTCGCACTATACACACGCTGACCCGTTCATAAAGCGTACAACAGGAAGAGCATGTTCTTGAGATAACCACATAACCCTTAGGGGAGTGGGTTATCCGAGATCGCCACAAGGGAAGCTTGAAGCTTTGAGTTTCCCAGGTGACTTAACTACAGCTCAGGGGCACGGCTCAGGGGCATGTTTCTGCCGCCTTGGAGAGGTGATTGATGTATGAATTGTGTGGTGACGATGAACTGTGGAGAATACCCACAAGCAGGGATAGATTTATGTTGAGCTATGTTGGCAAGTTAGAGATGGTGCCAAGCCCCACCCTGCCCCCACCCCTGCCAAAGGACGGACGGACCCCTGAAAGATTTCCGATAAACTCCACCCCAAGACCCCCTACCGTCTTCCTTTGGCTTTGATCATTGAAATCTTTTTTTCATTGACTCTTGGCTTCCCTGTACAGTATCACTTCGAGGAGAATGTGCATCTTAGCCTTATGCTCTGTTCAGCGTTTGAGTCTTGTGTAATGGGCAGTCACTCTGGGATTCTCCTATTCCCATCTTTTCAGATTTGTGGAATTTTTTTTTTTAACTTTTTCATGCCAAGGAACTGTAGTTTATGTTGCCTTTGTGGGGAAGCGGGTGGTGGAGGGGAGTGGACAGGGCTTAAAAGACAAACATTTATCAGGACCACACTGGCTTCCAGGACCTCCTGAGAAGCCTGATAGAATCCCACAGCTCACCCAGCTTTCTGACTCCATAAATAAAATCTGAAATGAATAAATATTAGGACCAGGGGGATGGGTTAGTAACGCAGTGTTAGAGCATGTGTTTGGCATACATGAGTGTCAGGGTTCAGTTCTAACCTCCTAAACCAAACTCAAATTAAAAAAAAAAAACAGCCAATCACTTAAAAAACTTTCAACATTTTGAGTACCTTCACATTTTTGTATCTTTAATTTTTTTTATTAATAATACCAAATTATATATTGATCACTTTACAAAGTATTGTGGGGAAGTAGATGACCTAATCTTCATAGTATTAAGTACAAACTTTGGATTGAAAAGTCAGGTGTGGCACATACCTGTGACCCCATCATGTGGAAGGTTGAGGCAGGGGGATGGAGTTCTAGACCAGTTAGAACTGTACATCAAGACCCTGTCTTAGAAATGTTTATTTACTCAGCGAACCGTCTCGCAGACCTTCAGAAACAGACAAACTCCCCAGATAAATGTCTAGACCAACTCCTGCTCTAGGTGGGGGCTTTCAGCCAGTCACTATTACGAATTTTAAAAGGCAAAACGCACAGCGGATTAATTTAAGTTTTTCTTTAAAAAATAAGAAGGCTGGACTCGTAGGGTTTTGTTGGTTAAGAGACCGTGTCTTGTGACAGGGGCTTTAATCACTCTTCCTGTGCAGATGTTATCCAAAGTGAGCAGGAAGAGGGGAGCATTAAGTGGGCATTCTGTTGTTTTTGTGTGTGTTTTTAAAGCTCGGCTCTTCCACTCGCTGATAACTGCAGGGTACAAGTGTGTTCCTTTTGTTTTCTCAGGGATTTTATGAGCGAATGCAGCTTTTGCTTTAGTGATGGTGGTAGCTACCTGTAATCTAAAACTTTAATCTGCTCCACTCTTGGGCTTTTTAACACACAGCCCGAGTCTTAGTTTCTGAATTTAGCGGCTAGAAGCGGAAAGTTGCACTCTGGGCCAGAATTCCATTATTCATGTGTAAATTAGGAATCGGCAAGGTTAAAAGGTTAGACACTGGCCGGGGTGAGGTTTACCCTGTGATAAAGAGCAGATGACCCTCATTCATTGGCCCCAGCTTTCATGTGGCTCTTCTGCAAAGTTGCTTATTGCCATGAATTGTTCTTGAGGAATGCAGAAACTCGAAAGCGAGCAGGCCCTTCCTTAAGTGTCACTGTGGGGCCTTATCTCCCCGCACATCGGCGCAGGGTTCTTCCCCAGGGCCTGGAGGCTTGGCTTTCCGGTTGTTCACCCAAGCACAAAAGAATGCGTCTACTTTAGTTTTGCTAAGGCATCCCGTTTTAAAAAAGGAAAACATAGGGTTAAAGTAATATATAACTTTTTTTTTAAGTAACCCTTTGTATTGATGGTCATTTTAACCCTCCCTTTTTTACATTTTCATGTAATTAGAAAAGAGAGGGGAAGGATGTGGGGAGCCCTTTTTCTAGTTGCGTTCAGTAGTAATCAGAAAATTAAAATAGGGCCTATAAATGTAAATGTATTGAGTTTTAGTACATCAAAATTTCACCTACTTGAGTGCTAAGTCTTCCTTGTATAAACACCGCAATTAAAATGTTTTAGGGATGCCCAATGACCAGAGAGCCGACTCGCTCTTCCTTGCCTTCTTAATGCTGGCGTAAGATAAGTCTCACAGGAGAGCATTAGTGTGCTTAAAGCAGTCTCATATTTCAACAAGTTTAAATTAAGATAAGGGAAGTAAAGGAGGAGGCGGGCGCATTCTGTGATGTGTAAAAGTCTGGCCATCAGCGAGGACTGAACAGGAAGCTCGTTGTTTGTGTCCTTTCCGTAAAAGATGGAAATTGAAGCCTCCAGATAGGATGAGAGCACAAACCTGGCCTATATTTCTTAGGGTTTTCCTTTTCTTTTTTTTTAAATCTTGGGCAAAGATAGAAAAGAAATTGTAGATGGAAGAGCCTGAGTATTCTCTTAACTTCGTAATTCTTTTTTAAACACTCGAGGTTAATTTTAGCCCCAGTGAAGTTCCCTGTTCAGGCAAATCAAACCAGGCTGGCCTCGAACTCACAGAGATCCACTTGTCTCTGCCTCCCGAGTCCTGGGGGTAAGGGCGTGCTCCACCACCGCCCAGTCAGACAAGTCATTTCTGTAACTTTTAACCGGGAAGAAGCATTGCCTTTAGTAAGATATGTTTTTCGTGAATAAAACGCTACTACTTCAGTTTAAGATGGAGTTTCGAGGATTTTTATTTTGTAGGTGTGGCTTTCTGCCTTAAAGAATAATTTCTCAACCATCACCCAAAGTTTGATTAGAAATGTAAAGAGCATTGAAAACAGCATTATGTTTGGGGAAAGGGGGCGATGTGGCAATGTGAAAGGAGAATGAGAACATGAAAATATAGGTCAGTTATTTGGATTTTATTAGGGATCCTGGACCCCAAGCTAGCAAAATTTCTCTTCATTGTTCTTGTCCCAGCAGGGTTTGTACACTTTGAGGGGCAGTGTCATATCTATGAGACAGGAGCTCTTAGCAGTCACCTGCCCGAATTCAGCAGTTCTAACACTGAACTCAAAGCTGCTGCATTTCGGAAGAGGAAACAGACATTTCGAGAGACTGGTCGGCCAACCCTGTAGAAATAAAACGCAGCTCCTGCTTCCTGATCTCTTAGAGAGTACGTGGTTTGGACGATCTGTTTAAGTTACTGGTGCCTTGGGCTTCTCCCCAGGCTGGCTGGGCGCTGAGACCTCTCAGCTTAAGGTCTGCTTATCAGGAGTCTGATAATCTCTGGGTCAGGGAACCAGTTTTTCTGATTTTACGTGTGATTCAAGTCTCATTTTCTGCCATTTGTAACACTACCTCCGAGCTCTTTTCAAAGTTCTTGGTTTTGTTTTGTTTTTTTCTTCTTTCCTTTATTGGAAACAAAGCAGGATCCAGCAAGGGGGTAGAGGTCTATGTCACACACACACACACAAATGTGTTTGTTTTCTTTCTGCCCACTTTTTAAGTGAAGTCTCAAGGGTCCTGGGTCTATACCCTTTTGGTCAGCCGTCTCTGATGATTCCAAAGCTCTTCATAGCCAGGGCTTGTACAGCCCCTGAGGATCTGTGCTCCCAAATTTAACAGCTGGGTCTGTTGAGAAAAATCACAGCAATTTAAGAGACTAGCCGAAAACTAATCTTTTAAGCAAGACTTTAGGCTTAATGCATATTTCAGCTAATAAATCAAATACGTTTGAGGATACCTCTGTGAAAGCCATATTTTTAACTGCAGTTAGAAGACAGGATTTTATCTTATAGCCAGAGTTGTTCAGCTAGGCTCATTGCTAGGAAATTAGCTAGGATTCATTTAGTGAACTGATCAAGACTTACTTGCAGAATAATCAGCCATGTTGAGAGTCATGCTTGCTATCTTTGGGAAGAAGATATATTTATTTTTATTTTGTGCTTATGTGTGAACGCATGCCTGCAAGTATGTACACTGCAT